AATGCGATCCCTATTAGAATCCCAGTTGACTTCTTTGTAGAAATTGCTGGGCCAGCCCTGGTGGCCTAGTGGTTAAGTGTGGCGCACTCTGCTTCGGCAGCCCAGGTTCAGTTCCCGGGTGAGGACCTACACCACTCATCTATCAGTGGCCATCATGCTGTGGTGGCAGCTCACATACAAAAAGGGGAAGATTGGCAGCACATGTTTGCTCAAGGTGAATCTTCCTCAGCAAAAAAAAAAAAAAAAAAAAAAAAGAAAGAAAGAAAGAAAAGAAAAAGAAATTGCCAAGGTGATTTTAAAATCCATATGGAATGGCAGGGGATTGAGAATGGCTAAAACAATTTTGAAAAAGAAACAAAGTTGGAGGACTCACATTCCTGATTTCAAAATTTACTACAAAGCAACAATGATGAAGATTGTGTGGTATGGGCATAAAGACAGACATACAGATCAGTGGAATAGAATTGAGAGTCCAGAAATAAACCCATATGTCTATGGTGAACTGATTCTTTTACAAATGTGCCGAGACCATTCACTGGAGGAGAGGATAGTCTTTTCAACAAACGGTGCTAGGACAACTGGAGAGTCACATGCAAAAGAATGAAGTTGGGCCTTTATCTCAAATCTACACAAAAATTAACTCAAAATGGTTCAGTGAACTAAACTAAACCAAACCAAAGCTACAAAACTCTTAGAAGAAAAGACAAGGGTAAATCTTCATGACCTCAGTTTTGGCAATGGATTCTTAAACATGATACCAAAAGCAGGAGCAACAAAAAAAGAATAGATCAATTGGACTTCATCAAAATTAAAAACGTTTGTGCTTCAACGGACACTATCGATAAAATGAAAAGACAACACACAGAATGGGAGGTAATATTTACAAATCATATGTCTGATAAGGGACTTGTATCTAGCATACACAAAGAACTCATATAACTAAAAAAATAAAAAGACAACCCAATTTAAAAATAGGCAAAGAACTTGAATAGATATTTATCCAAAGAAGATTTGCAAGTGGCCAATAGGCAGCTGAAAAGATGCTGAATATCATTAGTCATCAGGGAAATGCAAATCAAATTGCAACGAGATACCACTTCACACCCACTAGGATGTCTGGATTAAAAAGTCAGTAACAATGATGATGAGGAGATAGAGACATTGGAATGACCGTACTTCGCTGATGAGAGTGTAAAATGGTGCAGCCATGTTTAAAAATAGTCCAGAAGATCTTCACATGATTAAACATAGAGTTACCATATGACCCAGCACTACCGCTCCTAGGCATATGCCCAAGAAGAGTGAGAAAATTGGTCCATGCAAAAGCTTGTGTACAGATGTTTACTGACACAAATGTTCATTGCATCATTATTCATAATAGCCAAGATGGAAACAACCCAAATGTCCATCAAATGGATGGATAAATAAAATGTGGTATGTCCATTCAATGCAATATTATTTGGTCACAAAAAAGAATGAAGTACTGATACTTGCTACAACATGGATGAACGTTGAAAATATTATAAGATGTGAAAGAAGCCAAACACAAAGATCACATATTATGTGATTCCATTTATATGAAATGCCCAGAATAGGAAAATTTACAGAGGCAAAGAATGGATTAGTGGTTGCTTCGGGCTGGGGAGGGTGGGGCTGAACCGTAGCTAAATGGTACAGGATTTCTTTTCGAGGCGATGAAATTGCACCTATCTGTGAGTATACTAAAAATTTTTGAATTATCTGCTTTCAGTGGGTCAACTGTTATGGTATGTGAATTATATCTCAATAAAGCTGTCTTTTTGTTTGCTTTTTAAAGAATGAGTTGGAACAATATATTGCCTTGGAGGGATTTTTATGATAAATGCTTAAATGAAAAAAGACATTTGCAGAGTATTATAGGTTGAATTCATACATTTATGTCCAAACCCCAGTATCTCAGAATGGGACCATACATGGAAATGCGGTTGCTGCCAATGTCATTAGTTAAGATGTCACACGGGAGTAGGGTGGGCTCCTGATCCCACGTGACTGGAGTCCTTATAAAGAGGGGAAACTTGGACCCAGACACACACACATGGGGAAAACACCAGGTGAAGATAGATCGGAGTTAGTCTGCTGTCACAAGCCAAGAAACTATGAGAAGTTACGAGGGGGCCTGGAACAGATCCCGCTCCAGCGCCTCCAGAGGGAGTACGGCCTGGGGATACCTTGACAGAGGACTTCTGCTCACGTCAGATTACTCTGAGACCAAAACCTTCTGTTGGCTAAGCCACTCAGTTTGTGGTGGTTTGTCATGGCAGCCCGAGCAGACGAATACACAGAGTAACAATGGAAGTGGAAATTAACTGATATTAACTTGCTTTGTTAACACTGGGAATGGACTAGGGGCGGGAGAGGCCATTAGGTTTTTAACGGTGCTTTTCTTGTTTGAATTGTTACAATGAGCATGGATGATTTTTTTTTTTTTTTTAAGATTTTATTTTTTCCTTTTTCTCCCCAAAGCCCCCGGTACATAGTTGTATATTCTTCGTTGTGGGTTCTTCTACTTGTGGTATGTGGGACGCTGCCTCAGCGTGGTTTGATGAGCAGTGCCATGTCCGCGCCCAGGATTCGAACCAACGAAACACTGGGCCGCCTGCAGCGGAGCGCGCGAACTTAACCACTCGGCCACGGGGCCAGCCCCCATGGATGATTTTTTTAAAGAGAGCTGGGCTGCAGGGTTTGGGGGCTGTCTTCAAGTCTTTCTTTTACCTTCTTTAGTGAGACATTTTCACTGTCTTCTGCAAAGGTCCTCCTTTCCAGCCCCTAAATTTCTTGGCCCAATACATCCTCTGAAGCAGTCAGGAAAGTTCCAGAGAACATTGGGGATGGTGAAAGCAAGGCAGGAATGTGGCTCTTGCTCCTCCGGCCTGGGGAGTGAAGACTCTCCTGGTGAAGACGAAGATGATGACCGTGATGTCGGTGGTGGTGATGGAAGGGAAGGAAGAGCATTAGAACGTGCTGAAATCTCCAGGTGGCACTTTCTTCCCCTCCAGCCTCATTTAATGCTTCACCGCAATATCTTCTATTTACGGATTTGGAGACTGAGGCTCAGCAAGGTTAAGCGACTTGGGGGACAGTGCACAGCTAGCAAGCAGTGGGGCTGGGGTCTGAGCCTAGATTAGTCTAGCTCCAACCCCCTCTTCCTTCCAACTCACAGATGCTTCAAACACTCAGAGGCTGGGAGTGGTCCGGGGTCCCTCCGCCCCTCTCCCCTCAACCCCCGCCCATCACCAGGCCTCATCCCTAGCCTCCCAGGAGCCTCCTCCGGTTCAAAACAGTTACAGGCTGGGAAAATGAATCAGGACGCACTGCCCTTTGTCTCCGCAGTTTTCCAGCAGCCCCATTGGTTTGCTGTAATGTTGGAGGCCTGCATTATTCAAGCCCATGGAATATTCAGGCTGTTGGGCAGAGGAGCTGAGCCTCTCTCACAAAAGGCCCCCGTGGGCCCGGGAAGCTGCGGGGCTCTGCAGGGAGCCTGCGCCTTGTGCTGGGACCAGATGAGTCGTCCTAGCCTGACCCAGGCGGGGGCGCGGCTGCCTCTGCCACCTGATGGATGTCCTCATTTTGGGGGAATGTATTATTGAGCACCCGGGCTCCTTCCAACCTGACTCCTGTACCAAACGGTTCAGCTGTGTACCGCTGGTGGGAGCCCCAAAGAATCCACCCTCGGGGGCGCTGGCCCAGTGTGCCGGGCATGTGCGGGACTTGGGGTGGTGGACAGCCTTCTCTCCGTTCCTGCAGGGAGCCGATCTCCAGCAGGAAAAGCTGGAATTCGGGACAGCCTGGTTTTAGCCCTGTATCAGCTGCGTGACTGAGAACTTGCCAGAACCTGGTTGAAAATCTTGGTTCTTTGTGATGGTTTGATCAGTGAGGGCGAGGTCAGTAGAAACGGGGTCCCCAAGCAAGAGGCAGGATACTAGAGCCCATGCTTCCAGAATCAGGGAACTCATCCTTCTTGAACTTTTGCCCTCTTGAGCCCTTGGGTATGGTTATAGAGAACCAAAACGCATGGTGCAAGTTCTGGAATCCCAGAGCCATTGGCTTAAGAGTCCTGGTGGGAAGTTCTGGAACCTTGGGGTAGAGTTTTCCCTGGACCTCAGAATCTGTGACTCTAGAACCCTTAGGGTGGTTCTGGAACCTGAGCTCCCAGTCACACCGTGCAGAGCTCACCTGCCCCCTCCTGAGCCTTCTGGGACAGACCCATCTAAGGAAACGCGGTTTACGGCAGAAGGGAAGGCAGGTGCCCATGGTTTGCCCTTAAAGGGACAATTAAGGAAGAAATACTGGAAAGCTCTTTGAACGGTGACACAGCTGCTTGCCATCAATTAGGGCTGCCACTGCTCCTGCCATCCCGTGCTGATTTATGTGTGGGGAGAGAGACCCTGGAGTGCCCCCCTGGAGCTCAGGGGAGCCACCCACCCTGGGAGGCACCGGTGCTCATGGCTCCCTCTTCCTCTTCCGGCCCTCTGGGCAATGGCAGGTTTGGGGGCTTCTAGGCTCTGACTTGGGGGGAGCCTGCCCATGGGGTGATCACCTTTTCCTCCTCCCATTCTACAGATGGCAAATCTGAGGCTCTGAATGCTCTCTTTGGTCTAGACCAGGTTGTCTCAACCTCAGCGTTACTAACATTGTGGGTCAGCTCATCCTTTGTTGTGGGGGCTGTCCTGGGCATTGCAGGGTGTTCAGCAGCATCCCTGGCCTCAATCCATTAGAAGCCAGTAGTATTCCTCCAGTGTGACAACCCAAAATGTCTCCAGACATTGCCAGATGTCCTCTGGGGGACAAACTCTCCTCCAGTTGGGAAGCTTTGGTCTACGGAATGGATTCCGGGGCCCCATCCTGATCCCCGAGGTGGGCCTTGTGGCTGTCCTGCCAACCCTGCCTGCTGCTCAACTGGCCCCTCTCCTCAACCTGAAGATGCCCCATTGGGGTCCAAGAGAATAATCCACTTAACCCCATTTTACAGAGAAACAGCTACAGAGAATTTAAAAAGAGGTTTAAACTGTTCAAGTTCACGTAACAAGTCAGCGGTGGAATTAGGCTCAAACTCAGATCTGTCTCTTTCAACTCTACCACACCGTCTCCCTCACTCCTGCTGACATCCTGAGCTCACTCAGTCATTCAACAAATATTCACTGAGTACATCACTACGGACCAGGCCTTATTCTGCATGCTGCATGAACAGCAGTCAACACAACAGGCAAGGTCCCTCACCCTCAGGGAGCTGATATTCCAGTGTGTGTTGGGGGGGAGGGGTGTCGGGACATAAATGTCCAGGTTGGCATCAGGATTGAAGGCAAATGAGGACGCCGTGGCTGCTCCAATGCCCCCTCCTCAGCCACGCTGTGACTCAGAGCTACGAAAGCCGCGGTAAAACCAGCTTGATCTCCTTTCGCTCTGCTGCCCAGGAAACCAGAGTGGAGAGAAGCGTTAACTCTAGGCCTCTCCTCCAGCCCCCGATGTTCAATGTCCCAGAGAACACGGCTGAGGAGCCAGGCCAGGGCGGCAGCTCTGGGCAGCCCCCCTCCGAGCGCTCTTCCATTCTCTCACATCCGTCCAACTGTGAGCAAGTGGGCGCCCAGCCCGGCCGCGCAGACCCAGACCCCCATAAATTATGCACATCGCTCCCATTTCTAGATGGAGGCACTGGAGAAATTACAGCTCCCATTAACTTACACAGGCAGCCCAGCTGTTCCTCCCGCCCCAGCCTTCCTGGGCTGGAAGGGACGGGCTTGGCCGTGGGAGGACCGGAAACACTGGGCTACTCTGGGCCTGAATGCGTTGCGCTTGGATCTCCTCGGGAGAGAGGAGCCTTCTGGCCACAGCTGGAATGGTGCTGGTGCCCCCTGGCTGGTCCGATGCTTGAAAAGCTAGATGGAGAGGAAACGGTCATGGTGAGGCAGAGGACGTGCGGCAGATGCTGCCTGCCCGCTGTGTATATAAGGGGCTGGGGGGCTTCAGGCCGCCTTCCAAGGGTTGCCTCCCCTCTCTTCCCCCTTTCGCTCGTGTCCTCAAGGTCCCAGGCATGTGGTGGCTGGGCTGACGTCTCCTGGATGTGGCAGGAACTGGTCAATACCTGCGCGCGTTGTGTAAGGCGATCCAAGCAGGACCAGTAAAGGTCGTCCAGTCTATTTGCCCCGTTGTGCAGATGAGAGAGGAAGTGAGTCGCCCAGATCACCGGGGCGTTAGGGGTGGCCGCAGCCGAGATAGCTGAGATGACCGAGATGACCAAGTTCTCCTGGCCGCAGGGCCTCCGAGCGGGTACCACCCGCCATCCCGAGCACAGCACTTAGCTGCTACCTGCCTGCGCAGCTGATTGGACGAGGGCTTGGGGGCGGAGCCAAAGACAACCACAGGTTGGGGGCGGGCTTGAGCTCTGACCAATAGGAGCGCCCCGTCCTGGAGTGCGGAAACCTGAGCCAATCAGAGCCTCTCACAGAGGCGCTATAAATGCTCCGGGCTGGTGTTTGACTGCCACACGCCTCCCCCAGGGCTGTTGTTCCCCTTCGTGGCAGTCCCCCCACCCCGTGAGTGGGCGTCTCTCCCTGCCTTCCCCAGCAGCTCTGGCTCCTCGGCCAGTGCCCTGGGCCTGAATTCCCAGATGGTGCTGACCGTCCCCCCACCGCCCCCAACCAGGTGAGAACTCAGGAGGTCCCCGGCCCAGGCCTCTGGAGGTGACTAGAGGCCTGTGCGGCGGCAGCTGGCCAGGTACAGGCTTTCAGCCATGTCACCGCTAGTGAGTTCCAGACTCTGCAGATAGACGAAGTTATATATGGCAAGGCCCAGCGATATTGATCAGCATCAATATTTATAAAAGAAGCGGCTGTTTCCGTATTGAGGGTGCCTGTCTGCTGGCCCTTAAAGTTATTAATTCATAGGCCCAGGGATATAGGAGCTGACGGCCTGGAAAACCCAAACTCCCCACTTCGCAGGTTGGAAAGCGGGGCCCAGGCAGGAGCAGAGCGCAGCCCCCACCCAGTCCTGTTCTTGCTGTTTTCTTTGCATCCAAGTGACGGCTAGGGCCCCTCCCCCTTCACCTAATCTACGTTCTGTAGGTGGCAATAATTAGAGTGCTAGGCACTGCCCACTGAATGTGTACTGGCACATTTATTGTGCCGGACACTATATAACTCTCTAAATATGTAAAGCTGTCAGTGGTAAGGGTCCTCATCCTCTTTATAAAGATGGGGAAACTGAGGCCCACAGAGTTACATACTTTACCCAAGACCGTACCTCTAGAAAATGGTGGAAATGGAACCTGAAATTCAACTTCTGGTTCCAAAGTCCTGCTTTCCGCTGTCTGTCTGGCCCTTGAGTTGTCTTGAGGGATGAGGGTAAGAACATTTATTCACTGACAGATGTACTCATTCATTCATTCGTTCAGCAAGCTCACCTTATAGTTCTAATAATTTCCTTCTTAGGCTTCATAATCTGTTGTTTTCTTATTTATTCACTTGCTTTCTCGTTTGTCTGTGTCTGCCCCCTAGAACATGATCTCCATGAAGACAGGGACTGTGTGTGCTGTATTCCCCTCTGTCTCCCCAGGGCCTAGCCTGGGGCTAGTCCCTAAGAAATATTGGCTGAATGTTGCATGAATCATAGGAAATCAGGAAGTCGAGACTTATTTATGTTGAATGAATGTGGGAGTGATCAAGGATGAATGAATACATGAATGAATGCATAACCTAGTCATGTCCTCTCTCTGAAGCTCAGTCTTCTCATTTGTGAAGTGAGGATAGCAGCATTGATAGCTCCTATCTACCCACCATGGAGAGATTTAGATAATACAGGCGTGGAAGTGGTTGGTCAGATTTTCCAGCTCCTCCTTTGGGTGCACATGGATGGGGAACACATGGTTGCAGTTCCCCGCCCCCTTGAAGTTAGATGTGGCTGAGACACTTGCTTTGGCTAATGAAATGTGTGTGGAAGCAATCAGTGTCCCTGCCAGGTGAAAACTTTAAGAGCTAGTGAGAGACGGAGAGATTCACTGTGTCCCTCACCCCCCTGCCCCCAACAACCAGGTATCAAGGTGGACTGTTGGCTAATTTAGATCCCTGAAGGGCCATGCTGACCCAGCTCCCTGGCAGCCTGTGTCGGATATATAGCGTGACTGAGAAATACATTTTGTTACATTAAGCCATGAGAGTTTGAGTTGTTACTGCAGCAAGACATACCCAATCCTGACTAAAGGAGAGTGTGTGCACGGTGCTCGGTGCCAACAGCAGGGTCTGTGTTCCAGGTTGGATTTTCCTGCGCATCCTAGTGAAGTGGGCCTTTTCTTCCCTGAATGTTAGGGATGCTGTCTGGGGACAATGGAGGCAGTTTCCTCCAGCTCTTCCCCAGTTGGCTCTGCCGCAGGAAAGCAGAGAAACCCAGACATGAAGTCACCGCTTGTTTTCGGCGAGAGAGCAAGAAAAAAGCCACCACAGTATTGTGTTTGCCTTATTAAGCCTCATTTTCTCATTACAATTTTCCCTCCTAATTGCTAATTTTTCCAGCTTCTCCAAGAGCTCTTCTACTTCTGCCTTGTTCCTTCCCCCTCCAAGAGCTGGTGCTTCGCGAAACTGACACAGATGGGCCAAGGAGAAACACACATGCTTGTTTTTAATTTACTTGAAATCCTCTTCTCTTGGTGCTACTGGGACTGGCAGCTGCCAGGCTCTTCTGGCCATGTGGCAGGGGACTCCGCCCTGAGGATGGGCCCTGTGGAGGGAGGGCCTTGTCCGGGTCCACGGTTCCATGCCCTTCTCGAGGGCCTGACTTTTTGGCAATAGGGCAGCCCTCTCCTGGCCAGGACTTCTGAGCCTCAAGAGCACCTGTGCACACGAGATGAGACGTCGGCGGTCATGGGTCCTTGGATTCAGTCCTTGCCCTGAGCACTCACTGTGCATCCAGAGCTGTGCCTAGGGCTACTTCCCTGTCCAATGCCTCCACTGTCCCCTCAGTGGGAGGGAGCAGTGGGCAGCCCCATTTTCAGATGGGGAGACAGACCCAGAGAACTGAGGAACCTCGGCTCAGCCTGCTTAGGCAGCAGCGTCACAGCAGGAATTCCCCCTAGGTCCATCTGTCTGCTTCAGGGCCTCCTTCCACACCACGGGCCTGCCCAGATCAGCAAGGAGCTCATCGCAAGTGACAGGAGACTTTCTCTGCTCTTCCCTGAGCTGGCTCTCAGTCTGATGTACCATTACTCACTGGCTGTGGACCCAAGTAGGCTCCTCCCCTCCTCGAGGTCTTGGTCCCCCCGTTGACTGCGGGATGGGATCAGATGAGGCCTACAGGTCTGACATTTGGGACTCCAGGTGTGACATTCTCTCAGGGCTCCCAGTCCCTTTGAGGCAGGAAGGATGGGGACTTAGACACAACGTTACAGATAGAATGAGACTGAACGTCGTGCGGCAGAGTGTCATGCTGGCTTTGCCACTGGTGGGCTCTGTGAGTCTGGGCAAGCCGCTTCACCTCCCCGAGCCTTGGCTTCATCATCTGTGGAAGGAAGGTAAGAATCCTCCTCCGCTGATGGGGATTAAAACCTAAGCGCAAAGCTGTTAGCCTAGTGTCCAACGGCGAGTCAACGTGGCTGAAACGGCAGTGGCTCGTGCTGTTTATCATCATGATCATCATTGTCATTGTTGTTGTTATACAGGTCTTTTTAGAATTGGAGAAAGTCATAGCTGATACAGACCGAAAAAGTCACCGGGCCAACTTCTGTGTTTTTGCAAATTGGGAAACCAAGTCAAGAGCAGGGAAATGCTGTGCTCAGCATGGGGTCCACGGAGAGTCAGCAGGACTCCGCTTTATCCTCTGACTCCTCTCCCTGCAAATGGAATATCAAATCTTGATTTGATTTGATTTGATTTGCATTTGAAAACAACCACACTGACTTGTCAGGTCCCTGTGGGAAAGGATCCATCAGGCACAATTCCTGCCGAATCACGTGTTGTCATCAGGATCGGGACAGCCCTGTGCTCCAGCGAGGTTACCCAAAGGCTGGGCAGCAGCAGAGGCCTCAAGGGTTGGGTCCCAGTGGTCCACATGTGGGAGCTTTGGGGTCGGGCTAATGTCATGAGGTGAGAGAAGGCCCAGCCCAAGATGTCTGCCTAGGACCATCTGGACCCCTCAGAAGAGCTGTTCTCCAGGGAACACAGACCCTTGTCATTGCCACCTGTTGACCAAAGGATCTTTTTCCTTCATGGCACTTATCCCAATCCGAACATTTATTGGGGTCATTGCACCTGGAGAGTCTGTCTCTGCTGCGCTGCAAGCTCGTGCCCGGTGCTCAGGACCTCGTAGGGCCTTGTTAGTGAGGGTGAGAGAAATGGACCCAAGGTTGCTGGATGGAATCCTTTGCATTTCTTCACCAATTTTTAGTTCATGAATTTCCTTTATGTGCATTTACCTCATTTCATCCCTCAAATCCCCTGGGAGGTAGGGATTCATGGCCCCATTTTATAGATTGGAAAACAGAGGCTCGGAATTTGAAGCTGGGCTGTCAGTAGGGTAGCCCCATATGACTATTTAAATTAAATTTCAATAAAATTTAAAGCATTCTATTCCTCAGTTGTATTAGCCACATTTCATGTGCATAATAGGCACATGGCTAGTGACCACCATACTGGGCAGTGCAGTATAGAATATTTTAGACATTGCAGAAGGTTCCATCAGACAGGGCTGGTGGGAAGTAACTGTTGCGAGGCTGTTTAATCATCACCCAGCAGAGTGGGGCCCAGGAACCACGATTTTCTGACTTCTGGTCCAGGGCTCTTTCCAGGGCCTCCTGAGAATGGAATTTGGAACATGCGGGTGGGGTGGGGGAGTAGCTCTCAGAAGTTCTCTGTGCCTAGGATTTCCCATGGTGTGCTTTGGGTCTCGAGGGCCTCCTTGCTGGGGGCAGGTGGGCGGGCGGGAGCCTCAGGGATGGTCTTTCATCTTTCTCCAACAAGAGCAATTTCTGTTTCCTGTTTTGCATACAACTAGTCAGAACTGCTCCACCATCTCTAATGCAAACGTCATGGTGTGGTATCATTTTTCCACTGAAACGCATCGCCTCTCCATCAATGGGATGTCTAGGGCCTCTCCTTGGACTCTGCTCCTTTTTCCCCAGAGTTGATCAAGCCTGGAGCGCAGGCATCCTGAAAGGGCGCCAGTTCATCCTCCTTCTCTGCCCATAATCTGGCTCTGAACGCCGTGCTCCCTCCTGGGGTGGTCCGTGCTGTCTGGAACCTTCCTGTCTGTCTGCTGAGGATGCAGGACCACTGCTGTCTAGGGGAGAAGGCCTGCGCCCCGCTTTCCCAGGCCAAGCTTG